CAATTTCAGAGGTTTAGTCCATTATCACCATGGTCAGCATCATGGCAGCATGCAGGCAGATGTGGAGCTGGAGAAGGAGCCGAGAATCCTGTATCTTGATCAGGCAACAGGAAGTAAAACAAAACACTAGGCACTATCTTCAGCACATATGAGTCTACAAAGCCCACCTTCACTGTGAAATACTCCCTCTAACAAGGCCACACCTAATCCAGCAGTGGCAAACCTCACTTCTTTTGGAGGCCATTTTCTTTAAACCACTGCACCTGGATTTTAAACAATTCTCCTGCCATATCACTAAGGAAGAGGTTCTGTTCAAGTTACTTCAACATGAAGAAGATCAGGTTGGAAATCCATAGCAACTTTGTCAATTTTTCTCACAATGTATGTATACACACACACACACACACACACACACACACACACACACGTATCCATGGCTTCTTCATTCAAATCCACATTTTATTTCACATTCTCAGTTGATTCAATATATTCTTAGAGTTTATAATGAAAGAAACAAGCTTGAGGAAGCATAATTTTACAACTTTATAATTTTCTGCCTTGAATTACAGTTTTCAATTTATTAATTCACAAAATTGTTACTAGGAGCTTACTATGTCAATACAAAAATTAATGATGGGATTGCTACTTTCATAGGAATATGGTAATATTTGATTGAGATAAAAAGAACCCTAAAGATATTGCTAGTATATATACAAACTCTACTAAAATCTATTTTAATAGTTTTTATTTTTTTATTGATTTAATTGAACTCTACATTTTTCTACGATCCCCACTTTTCTTCCCCCAAGGACCTCATGCTCCCAATTTACTCAGGAGATCTTGTCTTTTTCTACTTCCCGTGTCGATCTACCTCATATTTTAACATGATTTCCTATTAATGGTCACATAAAGGCTAATAATTTCACTAACATATACATTTTGTGAATAATTGTATGCATATTTTCTTAATTATTCCCATAGACCAGGTTGAAAAGTGAAATTATTTTGTCTGTTTAAATGTACATTTAAACAGTTTTAATAAATTTTGTCAGTTTTTCCCAAAAGTCTCCCTGCCAATATATTCTGTTGTCTATGAACTGAACAAAATATTATTGACATTGTTCTCTATAAAAAATTAAATTTATTTGTTTCAGAACAATTTATTAGTCTTAATTCAAATTATTTTTGTAATTCCTCTTGGTTTTCTTTTATCATTCTATAAGAACATGTGTGGGTTTTGTATGGAATGCAAGAACTCTATTTAAAAGCATTATTTACTCATTGAAATATGTTATGTGTATTATCTCTAGTCCACAGTGTCCCTTGCTCTTATAATACTTATTTATATCATACAGAAATTCCTTCTTTTGTAGAGTTAAAGCTGTGAACATTTTCTTTATAAATTTTGCCTTAACAATCTACAGGACTGTTCCCCGGTTATAAATAAAGTACAAATGTATGCTTTTTTACCTTTCAATTGTTATACTTTAATTTCTGGTAGTGTAAAATGTTGTGATAAACTCTCTTTTCTCACCAAAATGCTCTCATCCCAAAGTTTTTTAAATTCTGTCCTCTTAAAGAACAGCTGAAGTTACTTACTCACCCATGCTCCGGCAAAACCAGAGCTTGCCTGTAAAGTCAATGCCTTGAGTGTGTGTTCTCATGAGCATGGTGCTGGACTTGATGAGTGGATCATACTGATCTTCACTCATGGCCAAGAGACCTTGAGTAAATAACAATTCCTACATCTGTTCCTAATCTTTAGAAGGGAAGGAAATAATTAAGTTAAATGTGTTCTGGTGTGGGAAGGAGTCATTATTCAATTACCATTACAACAATATTCATTCTAGCCACACTGCACAACAGACAAGGTGCCATGATTTTATGACGATTCTTTCTAGGAAGAAATTACCTTGATGTCGTGATCATCTTCATGTTGAGTGCAAATAACGTTCTGTAGTTCTGTTGTCAACATTTCAATCTCCCTCTGCCTTTCAACATTTGGAAAAGGGTTCCTGGTGTTCATGTTTTGTTCTTTTTGTTTTAAATCCACCAAACTATGACGTCACTGTGAGTGTATAGTACGCATGGAGACTGTAGCACAGTCTCTAATAGATGGGGACGAGATTTTGGGAATAAGTAAACTAATTGGCAATATTGACAATTCAAGTTCCTGCAGTTTTCCTTCTTTCAAAGAACTGTCCTTAGGCGCAGTCTTCATGGCTTAATGAAACTGGAGAATTTTAAGGCAAGTAAACAGACGAAAGGGAGATGTATACAGGAAAGTCTTAGTCCTCTTTGCCTCACTGAAAAAGTGTCCTTGTTCACGATAAAGACGATCTGGAATCCTGGCCAAATCCTCGGATCCCTGATCACCTTCACCTGCCACATGTCCCTCACCTCTGAATATTTCCTGTCACTTAACTAACACAGAAGATTGGCACATATTATCAGTCATTCCAAATGTCATGGAAGATGACAACAAAATCATCTCTTTTCTGTTCTCGACAAAATTGTTGATGTGTTAATGTCTTTGTAAAGTCCAGAGAGTCTGTACCATGGGACATCTGAACACATCCCAGGTCCACATGAGAATGTCAAAATCTGCCATCACTGCTCCCAGCCCCTCTATTTCATCTACAAACACTGCTATAGCATTGCCTATCCTATGGGACTACTGGAGTCAGTATTTGTGCCATAGAAATTGTACTGCAAATGTCACTAAGTGAACTGACACACGTCGCCATCTCCTTCAGAGTGTCCATCTCCCCGGACTTAGTCCGTCATTTGTACAGCCTCCACAGTGCCACCTGTAAAAACAGTGCCCATGTTTTCAGACTGCGTTGAATTTTTCCAAAACACAATCCTTTATTATTCTTCAAGAAGACTTATCATTCCCTCGAGTAGACAGTCACTAGAGGAAGAAATATGCATAGATCAGTTCCTTTGTGTACTGCTATTATGTACAGAATATTGTTTAAATCTTATTTTGTTTTTATTTAATCAATTATTGAAATAAATTCCAGAACAAATTTTTCTTTTGTGAGTCTTTGGTTAACTTTGGCATACTTTCCAAACTTACTTAAATTTAAGAAAACAACCATTATATCAAACAATTTTACGTTAGCTTTTCAGCATGGTTATATTTCTTTACAGAAGACAACACCAGGCTGTGACTAGAATCGTAACTATAGCTGTAGGTGGCATCCTCACTTTTATTCAAAGGTCATAAACCTTAAGATTCTTACATTAACTAGTAGTACGCATACCTCTGATATTAAACCAGGATATTGGGCTGAAAACAGTACAGCCCTCCTGATCTTGCCTGACTTGGAGGCATTTGACCGAACGCCACTCTGCTTGCAGGTGTGTGTAGATGGTAGGATTCTCAGAACCTAGATCAGTGCCTGGCTCCTGAAGAAAGGAATGAAGCACCAGCCTGGAAGACCTAAAAAGGGAAAGTAATTCATGAATCCAGTCCAAACACTGATTCACATTGCTTAAAAACAGAGGAGTATATCTTGTAAATCTTCAATATATGTAGTTGTCTTGGAGAGGTGGCATTTGTTCAAACTGCTTGGAGTCATCTTAGGTCCTAATTAAGCTCTAACTCAGCAAGTGGCTTAAAACATGACTAAAATATTCACATTTGACTCCTGTCCCTATAAAAAAATGAATCGCTAGTTTATTCATCTTGCCTAACGACACAGAAGGGCAAAACAAGTACCCAAACAATGAATAATAATGCCAGGACTCAGACTGCAAAATCAATACAGCAGGTCAGCAGAGCTTGCTTTGTCTTAATGCTCTCATCCCTGAATGCAGTGGAACTTATGTTCTGAATTATATATGGGTATTGACCTAATTACATAAATATTGACTTTTTCTTATATGAGGCCCTTTTTCCAGTCTCAGTGTAATTATGGTGCCAATATTTGTGGCTGTAGTAACACTGAGTTGAAATCTTTTCTTTGTGACTGATAGCAGCATGCCATGACATAACTCAGAGTCCCATGGCCTTAGAACATTGGAGACAATAGATAATGAGGGATAGAATAGCAATTCTCTGAGTGTACTGCACTAACATCTACCGTCTGAAGGAAATGATTGTTTTATTGTAAATCACTGGAAGACCATCCTCTCCCCAGCCTGTCAAATCCATAATGCACAAGAATAATAATTAAAAAGTAGGATCATTTCACCTGTCTTTTATTTCTTTCATATTTAAATCAAGTACTTCAGCTGGGTGGTGGTGACACACCCCTTTAACCTCAGCAACTGGGAAGCAGAGGCAGACAGATCTCTGTCAGTTTGAGGCCAGCTTGCTTTACTGAGAGAGTCGCAGGGAAGCGAGGACCGTCACACAGAAATCCTACCTCAGAAAACCAACAAGTAAACCAACAAATAATAAATGAAAGTCAAAACATAAATAAATGAATCAAGTGCTTCATCCTTATACTCAATTGCCAGTGTTCTTTTTGATGAGTTCTCTTATATATGGACAGATATCTATATTACTACCTACATGCCTCTATATGTACAAAAAGGCTGCACAATTCATTGATTGGGGGATATTATTTTCTCTCATCTCGTTGATTTCTCATGAGAAAAATTGTTGCTAGTTCTATAGTTGGTAGAATAAGAAAAAAATGTGATGGAATATCTCAGAATATTATAGCTCACTAAATTCCTTTGCTTCTTTACCACTTGATGACATTAGAAATATATCACCAGAGATTTATTTTTTAAAACAAAAAAAAATTATCTTGCTTTGCGTTTAGAGCATTTCTGGGAATGCCCATATAAAGATGTCACTGCTCCATGGGGAGTAGGGCAGGACTAAGTAATTATGAAGCAAGCAGCTCAGTATCTAGGTGAACACAGAGAAGACAAGTAAAGCAAGAAGTCAGTGACATGGTGTTATCGCATATAAGAACTATTCTAGGCTTTCATGTTGAGGTACCTCCACATCACTCTGTGTTTTCTTATGTGTCCTCCAGGGATGCCAGACAACATGAACTTCAGTGATGTCAAGCAAGTCCACCGAGCAGACCATGGAAGTACTCTGGATATAACTGGTGCAGGATGTGCATCGGGCACTGAGTCGATGATACTCACTCTAATGGGGATGCTGGTGATTCCTGGACTTTGGTAATGGAACTCTTCTGTCTGGACATACCACTCGGGAGTCCTGTTTTATTCTATATCCCCTTATGCTTGGAATAGAAGATTTCTTTAAAAGGAATGACTGAATTTGGAAAAAGTGTGTCATGCTAACTTCTTAGACTCCAACTTGAAAGTCCACAGAGTACCTAGAAACCAAGATTCTGACAGACGGTTTCAAATTTCTGGCGTCTAACTTAAACCTTCTTAAATTCTAACATTAAATCTAAAACTGTGAAAAGCTCAGAAGGGACTTTGAATAAGAAGGATTTGGTATATCTTTAATTCTATTCTCCTCAATTTCAAACCCTTTCCTTTTAAAATTGAGAATGTCATCATTTGAGAGTATGTTTTCCAGGCTCAGAAAACAACTAGTATTTCTTAAAGCACCAGGAATAGAAATAACATTAAGTAAAAACACACAATGGCGAGTATTATGCATGCATTTTTAAGTGAGTCTTACATTTTTGCAAGTTACAGGAAAATTACTAAAAGTCTGTGAGTTATAAAGTAGATTAGCAGGGTTATTTCTCAAAAGTTTACTGAAAGAGCTTGACAATGTTTGCCACTCTGGCTTCGCCAGTGAGCTTAGTAATTTAGGGGCACCTATTCATTGTAGTATCACAGCCATGTCCCCTCCTTTCTCTTTACCTAAAAGATCTAGTTATGTCTGAAAGCACACTTGTAAACTCCAATAAAGCTGTTGATTCTTTGATGAGAAATTTTAAAGACTATTAAGGTCGTCTTTTCTAATAAAAATTTATTCCTAATGTATTTATTTTGAAAATGTCATTTGTTACTTTTTTTAAAGCATCATATGGAGCACACAGTTGGCTATTCTTGCATAAGGTCTGATGAATATCTTGCAGTGGGTAATAAGACAGAACATGCAGCATGCAAGTGTTTAGCTCTCTTCCTATGTGGTCTGCAGGAAAGTTGCTAATCCACCATCCCAAGTTTCTCAGCTGTGGTAAGTTACAGAGACTGATAGGAGTCTTCCAAAGCTGCACTTAAGGAGGAGAGTTTCGTCAGTGTTTATTAAGAAGTATCACACCTGGCTATGGCCAGGAAATCTAATGAATATGAAGTAAAGGAAAAGAAAAATGAAATGCTGAACTTCTTAAGCAAATAATTCAGAAGGATTTAAAATGACCTGTGACAAGGGTCGTAAAGGATTCATTTTAACAGCCAACATGACAGAGGCAGAACTGATTTCTCCAATCAGGAAGCAGTATGTGATCAAACCTTATCTCTCTAAGGTTCCCAATCAGGTGTTTGGAGAGTTGTCAGTTTCAGTTACAATATTTTTAACTTCTCAAATAGATTTTATAGTCTGTTCAAGAATGTCTTAAACCTGAAACCAGTATTTCACCTGCTGATTCTCCGTGTAATTTTCTTAGGCTACTACTCCAGGCAGAAATATGGGTAGCTCTTGACCCTTCAGCTACACTCAGGCCAGCCCACTTCACAAACTACAAACTTAAATTTTTTTCCGGTTACTATATCAGGAAAAAATTAGTATTCAGTCACTCATGCAATCTTGTCCCTGCCAAGGTTAGTTTCCTATAGAAAAATTCCTGAGTCCCTAAATTAGGGGAAATTCATTTTATAGTCTGAAGAGTACAACTCAGGAGTTTAAGATGTATGTTGACAAAATTAGTTGATTCAAGATAATTTGGGGCATTACCAGAAATGGCTAAGAGCAGAGAGCTAACAGAACCAACAGAATCAACGGGTGCATTTTGTAGACTGCATTTTATGTTCTCAAGTGTGTGATGTCTACCTCCAACTATGCATTTCAGATACTACATATGTCAGAACACTGCTGGGAGAGCTCAGAGCCCTAGGAGGTTTGCAGAATTTCTTTAAGTGCCTGAGGCATCATTTTTAGTATTCTTAGTGAGGGTATTCATACTTTAGCATGTCACTTGGTGACATTTTATATTTATATAGGACTTCATGATGTAAAAAGTTCTTTCAAATGAAACAAAGTGTCTCATGTGACCTTCCTCACTCTCCAGGCTGACTTGATTTTTAGTCCCATAGAAACAATGACATCGAATTTTCTATAATATGGCTCCAAATCAGCGTCTCTGTGATTTCCAGAAATGATAGCTAAGAAGGTTTAAACAAGAGTAAAATTATTTAAGCATACATCTCACTCCCATGATGACTTAAAAATATCAAAATATAATGTTTTATGCATATCTTATATTGAATGATTTTATCCAAGTTGTTTTTGAGCCCTGAATGATTTTTATACACATTGAAGTGCTCACAAAGTTATTGCCAGGTTCAGGTGTATAGCTAAAAACTATATATAAAAAAAGAAAAAGGAACAAAAGAAACCGAAAAGAAAAGAAAAACCTACAAAAAACCACCTTTAGTTCTTAGTTGAATATTTCGCATCTCTTGGGGGAGAGTGGGTTAAGAATTAGAGTGAGAATTTTCTCGCCCGTTATTCCTCATAGACACAGTGATAAATGAGTTTATTGAGTTTATGCACAACCTCTTTCGATCTTCCCAATAACATTACCACCTGTATTTTACCAGTGAGAGGAGTGAGATTTAGGGATACCATGAAATTTGTCTGATGCCATGCATCTAATCATTATATAATTAGAAGGGGGCCTTTGATAAAAAGCAATTTACATTCCTAGTTTAAAAGCAATAGCGTTTCACAGCAATAGAGAAAACATAGGTGTTAATATCAAAACTCTCCAGGTTTCTTCAACTCTCTAAGCTAGTACATGAATTTGTCCTGGACTGCTGCTATTCAAATCAAGTTGTACTGACTTCATAATTTCATCATTGTCAAACTGTGTGTCAATTTGCATATTGAAAGTGAGCAAGGAAAATGTGGACCTTTTGTTCTGACAGTTGTTCATCTCTGATACATTCAAATCACACTCGTATACAGCGGCTCCCAAATAAATCAGCTATCAAAAATGCAAAAGAAAACAGCAGTTTTATAATTATCATGGAATCATGAAGTTACCCTTTGTTTCCTGTGGTACTGATGGGAATGAAATTTCTAGGCCTGTAGAGCACAGGGTAAAATTAGAGAAGGAATTGTACAGAGAGAGAGGGAGGAGAGAGGAGAGAAGGATGAGTGAAGGACTGGAGGAGGAAAGAGAAGAGGAAAGAAGGTAAAGAAGACAGGAAGGGAGGGAGGAAACTGGAGGGAGGCGGGTCGCTGACTGTGGGGGAATCCTCTTTATGCACCCTGGATTAGCCTTTAAATCTACTGTTTGTTCAGGGGAATCTTATGCGTGCGGAGATGCTGGCCGTTGGCTGTATTTTCTCCTCACTAAGGGCAGAAGTTAATGAGATATTTTCCCCTAAACACTTGTGTCTTCTGAAGTGTTTGCTAAGGACACTTGGAAATGACTCAATTAGGCTATTGTTTTCAGACACTTACCTTACTGTTTTATCTCCAGAACTCTTCAAGTACAAGAAACAATTGTTTCTTTCTTAGTACGTGAATTTATTCTGGATTGCTGCTATTCTGTAAGATATTCACTGTGTGCAAGGAAGTAAGTATCAGATTGTCAACTGTGCATTCAAATAAAATTACATGGGCTATATGAAACAATAATAATATTGTTATGTATGTCTTTGGGCACATCAACATTTTAAAATCATATTATTATATGCAATTCATTTGTAATTAAGATATCAATAAATCACAATTTACTGTTTGAAAGAGATTTTGTTTTCTAAACTTAGTAATTTTTGCTGTTAGCATTAATTTTAAAATCAAGATTTAATGAAACACTATTTCTAAAACCTCCTTCATCTATAAAAAGAAGTTTAAAATGTTACATGGTATTATTAATTCATTCATAGTAGCACAATAAGTTATTTGGAATGGAGTGGGCAATTAATATATTTGTACATATATTTGCAAAAGTGTTATTCAACAGTCTCATCTTCCTTCCATAAATGTTCACCAGAATGTGTTTTGCCAAGAAGTTTAAACGATTACGTATTGTGCCTTTCTGGTAAAGCTTTTCTGGGACTGTGGCAAAGTTTAGGGAGAAAGAGATACTGCAATTTGAAACAAAATTATAAAACAGGACAGAGGATCTGCTAGAGTCAGAACTCCTGGAAAGAGGAGGCGTGTGTGAACCATCAGCATGGCTCTGATAATTCGGTGAGTAAAATGTGACTTTTGTCTGTTTTCGTAGCAATCTTGAAAACTGTTGGGCTAGGAGCAATGAAGGGTGGTAAACCAAAAGGAAGCCTTAGGTTTTCTCAAGATGATCCATCTAAAACCACTAACATGAGGAAAAATAAGTAAGTAACTACAGGCTAGGCTGCGAACAAACGCAGGAACTTGCTTTGAACTTTGAGCAGGATCGTGTTCTCTACAAAGAAGCAGCTCCACAGTGGTGATCAGGGAGTTCCAGGCCTCTTATCTCCCTTCTTCCTGTTCCCACATGCCTCCTCTTACCCTGACTTTCTTCCTCCTTGTGTCTATTGATGTTATGTTTCTCTTCTGTAAAAATGGGGACAAACTACATCAAATCCATGAAATGACTAAGAGAAGAAGCTAATGCACCATTTCCTAGAAACCCACCTGTCCCCTGGTGAACAATGATTCATGTTCGTCTCCCATGGTGCCTCCTGCTACAATGAACATATTCCTGAGATGGTATTATTTTCTCTGTGTCCTGCCTGTTGACAGCTGTTGACATGGGAAGGGAATGTGAGGGCAAAGATATACAGGCATTTGAATATTATTTGAAAAGTGAGAAACACTGGACAAATGTATAGTCTATGGCATTATATAGGGAGAGTTTTCTTCTTTCTTTTAGTGCATAAATATCATATTCACTCTGACTGAAAGTTTAACTCTAAATTGTTTCTCTAATATGACAGATTAGAATTCGGTTGGGTAGTATTTTTGACTGATCCATTCAGGCACTTCCATCTGTTTGCTTATACTAGTAAGCATAGCACAACGCCAACGCGGTGAGAACCTATTATCGACAAAAAAAAATTAAAAAAATAAAACTATTGAAATAAAACTATTTCATGTTCTAAGTAACAAATCATTCTAGGTTTTTGCAGAGTTCCTATTGCTAAGTAAGTATTTTAAGACAGCCAGGCTTTAAAATATTTCTTTTGTTTCTCTTCTCTGGATCTCATGGGTATGGACAAATTTTAGATAGTTCCATTTATCTAACTTGAATACTCATAGTCCCCGCCACACACACATCCAGGGTATTCACATGCGTGCTTGTTCTTCTTCTTTCTCATTCGTCCTCCTTTCATATTAAATTTAGCTCTAACACCAGGGTTTAGCATCCTGAGGAGAGTCCATATGCCACAAGCCTTAGCGAGGTCGTCTGATGGGCAGTCAGCTCCATCACTGATTTACAGCATAGAACTTTGCAGTAGGAAACAGAACAAGTATTGCAGATATCTTAGAAGCAATTTTCCATCTGACCTTGAGCGTGGCTATGAGAGCTGCAGCCTCCTTTCATAAAGTTGTGTCCTCAAGCCAAACAATCCCACATGGTCTTACTAGATTCCTAGATTTCAAAGCTAAAACTTCAAATATTACTGATACAGTGGCAGAGAAACTTTGCTGGCTTTATGGTTTCTGTAACTTAGCATTGTTTGTACATGCAAGGCACTAAAGTGATGAATAGATGGAGAAATGCTCAGTTTTTATTTAATAGGAAGGACAATGTTACAATCCGATCATTAATATTTAGTCAATAATATTCTTGGTTCTAAATAATTTTCAGGAATTGAGATCTATGGCCTTCCTAATTCAGTTATGGTGTATCATGATACCCAGAGACAATTAACACTTTGACTGGCCACTCTGAAAGACTAAACCCCAAAGGGTATGGTAGTCAATGATAAGGTTACTCACATTGGTTTGGCAGTGTTCTCTTTCTCATGGAGTTTTCTAAGAGACACTTTTAAATAGACATAAACAAATGCTGCCTCCTCTGGTAATTTATTGCAGATTAGGAAGGTGGAATAGAGAAGCTTATTTTCTGGGTTTCTGTAGTACGAAGTTTAATATAGAAAACAGAGGAAGAATACCTGGGCAGCAGTGGACGCAAATATTAGCATCATTCAGAAAATATGCAGGTGGAGGCCTGTGTCACAGCTCCGATGACTAGCTTGTAAACATGTGGCATGTGCCTGAGACACAGCTCACCAAAGTATGCACATGAACATGGGTTATATATCATTTTAGTTCTTGTTTCCCCATTTATAAATTATTTTCAAAAAAATCTGAGATTTTCGTCAAATATGGTGAACTGAAAGTAACATATATCTGTAAACTATACTTGCCACACACACACAAGCTTAATTGGATTTATCCTGCACAAGAGACAGTGCTCTTCCCAGAAACCATCATTTGTCAGATAAAAATCCCGTGTTGGGTGTAGGATACCTTCCCACAGTTGTTGACTAAGGGTGTCCCCAAGACACGAAAAGCAATAAAGTCTATTGATGTTTGTCGTGGCTTAAATAGGAAGTACCTGCTTAGGCTCAGGTATTTGAACATTTGGGTCCCAGTTAGTGGCCCTTTTGGGTGAGATATGGAACATTTTGAAGCTGCAGACTCACTACAGGAAATTTGGTATTAGGAGAATAATTTGATGTTTATATAGAAGACAGATAGAGAAGGATATGATGATTATGTGTTAACACAACTATTCAAATATGTGATGATTCTGTATTTGTTGTTTAATCTATATATACAATTTCATAGAATATCTTGAATTTTTTAGATCAATAAGTACAATTTCAAAAATAATTGTAATTGATGTATAAAACTCTTCCTATGAATGTTACATAGTTTATTGAGTCAATCTTCTATTGAGAAACACTAAATATTTAATGATCTGCCGTAAATAATGTTATCACTAAAATCTTTATAAACTGGGTTTAACTCATCATGGTTATGTTGCTAAATTAGTTCTTCCTTAAGGGGAACAAGGGAAAGAAATGTCTTACTCTACCTGGCTTGACCATAGTAACCAATGAAAAAGAAGCCAAGCAAGTCACAATAATGCTGACAAGTGAACTGGTTGCTATTTTGTTTGTTTTTGTTGGGGTTTTTTGCTTTGCTTTATATTTGTCTTTTTATAATCAGTGTGCTCACTGTGGTGACTTGAATGAGGTGTTCCTCCTAGTCCCCATTTGGTGGCAGTGTTTGGATTGATTTAGGATGTGTGACCATTTTGGAGGAAGTATGTCACTGAAGGCATGCTTTGAGAGTTTAGGGACTCTGTGTTACTTCCTGTCTACTTCCTTTGCTTCCTATTCCTGTTGCCTTGCCTGACTCCTACTGCAACAAAGTCTATTGTTAGGCTTCTATACCATTATGGACTCAAGACCTCTTGAGCTTAAACAAACTTTTCTTCCATAAATGCCCTCCATCATTTTATCCCTGCAACAAAAAAGTGATGGATATACTTCACTCTGCATCATTGACTGCACCAGTTGGAAGAAAATTTTTCTATAATACAAATTTATGTTACTATGATTGCATATTTATCTTTCTTCCCTAAATAGACCAAAGGTTGCACAAGCTATTTGAATCCTTTGTGGTGGCAATGACCTTTACATTAGTAAAAGTCCAAATCAGTATTTTTAATCTAAACTAGCTATTATAATGAAAGAAAAATCATGCAGAGATCCTAAATTTGAATAAAAAGAGGAACAAAAGCAAATGTAAGTTTATAACTGCAGATAAAACCAGCAAAAATATTTGACATTGAAGCCTTGCCTTAAAGTCCAGTGGCCAACCAGTACTTTCACCTCACTGTCTTTCCAGAAAAACTTGTGAGTTATCAACAAACAACCCCAGAAGGGAACAGCCTTTCTCTTTATTGATCAACCCCCTAGTCTAAAGCCATCCTCACTCTTCTCTGTCCAACAGGTCTAATCGATAGCCAGTGTTTCCTTTCCATCAGTAAGGAGTGCTTACAGCTTTGATCTGATGTAAATAGTCTTGTGCTTCCTACTGCAGGTGTTCAGATGGATAGGTCACAAAAAAGCTCATTCCTTTGTTTGACTCATATCTAGTAACTCTATAAACGCTTTTATTTCAGAGATACATCGGGTTTTAAGTTTGTGTTTAGCAATATCTGTAGTCCAAGAATTTTAATTTTTCTGTTTTTCTAAAGTTGTTCTAATTAATCATTCTTACAGATTTTTCCATCTCAAAGTATCCTTAAGATATTATAATGTTAACTTCCACCAATGTTAAAGGAAATTAGAATGAAAAGAAAATAAATCTTGATGCGTAGAAACTATTTGCAAAAAATATTTGTACCTTAATTTCCTTTGCTGATGCTGTGAAAATTATCCTGGCAAAAGTACTTTAAAGGAGACAAGCTTTCCTTGGCTTACACCATCAGGTGCAGTCCATCATTGTAGAGAAGTCAAGGCACCAGGAACCTGAAGCAGCTAGTCACATTGATAATTAGGAGCAGAAAGTAATGAATCAGCATATCCATGCCCAGAAGCATCTTTCCCTCTCCATTTTCTACACCCCAGAATGCCCTGCTCAGAGAATTTTCCCACCCATGGTTAAGATGGATCTTCCCACATTAGTGAACTCAATCAACACATGCCCCCATAGAGATTCTCAGAAGCTAACCTTAGTCTAGCAAATCCTTTGCCAGGAT